CAATTTAGCTCTTAGAGTATCAGCAGTTCATTATCAGTACTCATGATCCTAGGAAAGGACAGTCTGATCTTCTTGGGCCCAGAGATTTTCACTTCTCAAGCATCCTGAGGTCTTAGTGTTCTGGGTCCCACAGTGGGACATACAGTTTATCAGAGCTTGTTCTAGAGCCCTGGCCAGCACCAGGAGAGATTTCCAAGGCTCAGGCAGTGGACCCTGGACAGGGGAGGGTGGCATCCTCCAATGAAAGGGCTCTGTGTATCTTGCTGAGACACAGAAGAGACCTTGATAACCCCCAGGGTAGGTGTATGAGGTCTCCTGCGGTCTGCGGTCAGCCACATGGCCCCACACCTGCTCCAGCTGAGCAGTTTTTTGGCGAGGGTGACCAGGTCGTGTCAGTCCTTACCTGCTCTATACAGATTGCCTATGCCGTTTTCTCTGCTGGGTTCTTGTCTCTGAGCCTCTGAGACAGGGCAGAACTCTCCTCCCACAGCACATATTTGTGTCACACCTGATCTTCCACTTGAACGGCTCTCATCATACAGAGGGTCCACCCCGTGAGTAGATTTGCATCTTTGGTCTTCTGTAAAATATCGATAAGGATTCCAAAGGTTGAAAGAGGAAGCTGTGGTCAGGCCCCACCACCCACCACCCCAGGGACAGCAGCTCAGAGCAGCTCTGCAGGCGGCTCCTCTCTCCACGGGCTTTTTGCTGAGACCAGAAGTCTCCAACTTGACCGTGGCTTGCGAGCCCTTACTTCACTGGGATTGCAGGGGTCTCCTTGGGGTTGATTAACTCACTAATAGAAAAGCTAATCAAGCCCAAGTTGCACAAGTTGCATGAAAGGCCCTACGTGGTCTCACACATCAAAGATCAATGAGACAGATGGCGCCATCTGCCCCCCGGCTCCCCCGTCCCAGGTTAGCACCTAGCTAGCTCCAGCAGGCAGCTCAGGTCTCCTCTTTGTATCCAGGAAGCTTTCCTCATCTTTCCTGCTAGGAAACCCCCCTTACCCCAGAGCACTTTCTATCCACGCAGCCCCGTTTATTTTTCTTCCTAGCAGCTATCATTATGTAAACTCAGAGCAGTCTCTGACTTACTTGGTGTTTTATGCTCTCGTGCCAAACGTAAGTGCGTGGCAAG